TATATGAAATGTCACAAATTTAGTGAGTACAGCCAAAGTGTAACATTCCCTAAGAATTTCATGTTTAGCGCATAACAATAAAAAAGTAAAATTATGTTGTTTATGTAAAATGATTATGTTACCTCGAGTATATAGTCTTACTGTAATTAATCACTTATTTTCTTTTATGTGTACAATAACTTCTTTTTTAATTTCATATTTTTATATAAAATATACAGAAAACACATGTATTCTAAAGTAAAAACTGTTTGTCAATTATAAAGAATTATTTAAAATTTAATTAAGTACAAGTTATCATCGGTGTACATACAGAGTAATTTACCCACCGTTCAAGTGCTTATGTGCCAACGTCGAGATAATATCTCTCCGTTTCTTGTAGAAACGCCTTAATCTCATGTAATGTTGCATCAGGCCTTCGTAACCCCAGACCTTAAATAGCTTGTACATTATCACCTAAAAAGTTAAATCAACCATTTTTAACTTTTTTCTGACGATAAAATGGTTAATTATTTTACATTTTTTTAAGATTTTGATAAGAACAGACACGCGCCACTGTCGGTTTAATTTATGGACAATAATGATTAAGCAAGGCATGCGTCGACGTTTCGCGATATTTCATCATTCAAGATATTTACAGTTATCACCCTTTTTTGTACGTACATATAAAAAGTATAATAAAGAGTATGATAAATGCATTCTTTCTTTCCACATTGTGTTTAAATACAAATCATTCAAACGTTCGTATCGCAACACATTCAACGAGTTTTGCTAATAAATATGTTCAACATTAATAAAGGCTTATTAGTCTTTTATACCAGTTTGAGTTTAAATAATTCATGAATATTTATAATCTTCCGATGTGTCGATTGAAATTATGTGCATGCCATGTATAGATAAGTGTTCTCTATTGAGACGATATTTACCGGCGATAGGGAAAAGTAAGGGTAGCAAAGGGTCAACAAAGGGACTTGCGAAGGATAAGGGTGTTTCTACCAACCTGCGATAAAGTAGGAGCATGGAGATGACTGCTCTGCAAATGAAGCTCTACGCAGGCTATCAACGGAGCTGCGGCAGTCATAAAGCCTATTCTAATGCCACTGCTGATCACTTTCGAGAATGAGTCCAATCTAATTACTCGACCTTCCGTATCGAGCGATAAGAAAGACTTAGGCTCTTCCTGAGAAAGGATATAACTTTTATTTTAAGTCACATTCTTTTTTTAATTTTTTACAATGAAGAAAATCTCTTTTATAGTTATATTTATTTTAATTTTATAAATGTTATATAAATATATATATTTATAATTCTATAAATATCTAATTTTGCATAATATATCAGTTATATTATAAATTCAAATATAGATTGCGTTTTATCTCAAATGTTGATGAAGAATGTGAATCATGAAAGATATTTATGATATGCGAATTCGTTGATATTACTACGGGCATGAATTTTTAATAATATCTTTAATAATTTGCCGTTCGTGATTGCATCAAATAGCACAGTGCTTAATGTATATTGTAATTAACAGATATCTTTATTTGTTTCGAATGTATTGCTACTGCATTTCATCATATTTTCAACAGCTTTAAAAGATATAAAATTTAATGTTATCGCGCGGACCATTCACAAAATTTAATTTACATTTATGTAAAATTATGCCAAAATTACGTTAAAGATACGTCATACAGTAAACTTATCTAATTTGCACTGTAATTTGCGGGTCCGTTTATAAAATATTATGGCGTTTTGTAAAGTTCCATTTTTTAAATAATTTTCAGTAATAATTATTTGTGTAGTAAATATTAACGCATGTACATTTATATGTCTATTAATACGTCTATTAACATACATTCATATTTATGCGCTCGGCTTAATATTTTTAAATAACTATTATGTAACACGTTTGTTTGTCGACATGAAAATTACTCACCTTGTCAAAATGCATGAAATGATAAGGATCGTCGTCGAGAAGTAAGAAATTGTACTTGCAGGCTATCCTATAGATTTCCTTTCGTCTTTCTAGCGGTATGATGATACCGGTAGGATTCGTGCCTGTAGCATTTATATACATTAGCTTCGGCATTTTTCCACCGGAAAGCTCTCGATTTCTCAAGATTTCCCGTAATATTTCCGGAATGGGACCGTCGTCGTCTTGCGGAATCATTATGAGCTCCGCTTTGTGAGGTGATATCTATGAAATCAATGACATTCTCGTATTACAGTAGTAAAGAAAATTTGAAATAAATGCTTATTAGCATTTTAATATAACTTGAGAGGATAAAAATTTCTTTTTAGAATTTTTTATAATTTTTCGGAAATTTTATATAAATTTAAAAATTTTGCAAAATTTCTGAATTTTATAATTTTTTTGTTTATTATATAATGTTTATTATATAAATTGGAACACTTGTCAGAAGTGCTAAGAAAATCTACACACATCTTTTCTAGAATTCTTTGTATGTATCGATTTGCAAAAGATTGTATAAATTTTGAAATAATCTAAGGTTTCTAAGATTTCTCATCTTATAATTTTTAATGAAATGTTAAAAAATCTTATAATCTTAAAAGTTTAAGAAATTTTTTTCAGAAATATAAAGAAAACTTTTTAAATCTTATATTTCTCAGAATTTGTGTATATGTATAAAAAAAAATTTAAGAAAAGATGTAGACTTTTTCGATATTTCTGAAAAGATTTCCAATTTAAAATTTTAAGAAAAATTTTCACCAGGGAAAGAAGTTGTCTTTAAAAAAGAAATTAGATTAAATTTAACTTAGATCTAATATATTTACGCCCATTTCTACCAATCAAAGATTAACTTTAATCTTGGTTTAACTTACGGTTTTTTCTATGTCTAGTTTTAAGAATTAGAAGACGATAAAATGTAGGTTTAACTGAGATTAAAGTTATTCTATTGTTATGAGAAAAGGGCATTTTGGCGTTAGTATACAATTCAATTCATTATTGTATTGTTGTGTACAATTACACATCTTTAATACAAATATAAGAAATATTTTCATTTCATTTTATTTCTTAATGTTGCACAATATCAAAAAATAAAAAAAATTACATTATAAAATTTACGATAAGAGTCTATTACTACTATCGTGTTTAAATTATTATTTATATCGTATATTTTTTAGTTAAAAAGACTAAAACAATACGGTGAATATATCCTACGGGATTCTTCTCAAATTTCTTTCTTTAATGAGAATATATCTATATTTACTAACCACAACTTCGACGCCAGGATAGAAGGGGTTGGGGACCAAAATCGGATCACCAGTGCCGATTATAGCCTCCAGAGCTTTACTAAGCCCATCCTGAGACCCCGAAACGACGACTATGTCGCGGCTCTCCCATAAGGGTGGCGCGTGTGCCCTTCTCTGGAATTCCCTCAGGGCCTGAAACCAATTTGTCCGACATTGTTAGACACATTGTAGCCGATTCCCTTATCTCGGGAACGAAAGATTCCAGATATAACGACAAGGTTGATTTTGTCACACGCATATAATGTGCAACATAATTACAACGGCGTTAAATTTAATAGCTTATTTTCAAAATCTTTTTATTTTTCTGCCTTCTTTTATCATTATCTTCGCTATATTCATCACATTTCAGTTTCTTCTATTTCTCTTTTAATCAACAAATTAAAAGCTGATATAAAATTGGACATTATATATGAGCATCACTATTGTATTACTATCTCTAAAATTTCTATACGGGACAGTTTTGAAAAAAATCTAAATAATGAAAAATAATTTCTACCTGCAGAAGAGGAGGGTAACCTTGCGTAGGTATATACTGAAGAGCAGCAGCTAACTCGTCATCGTCGAGAGTGAAAGACGAACCATCGCAGAGTTTAACTGAAATTTCTGTAAATGGGAACGTTTCTTCATTGGGCATTCCCTCTGCTAAAGAGACGGTGCTTTTCGGCGCAGAGTATGCTATTTTAGCTAAAACAGATTGAAATGATCATTGCTGTCGATCATCCGAATGGTATAATAATATTATGTTTATCAATGCAGAACATTAGCAATATTAACATTCCATCATTAACCGTAATCCTCATAAACATTATAAAGTTAACTCATCAATTTATTACAAAAAAATTTTTTATCTTAGTAATTTTATTGATCCATCATAAAAGAAAAAGTTTGCAATTATTGTTAATTAAATATAAGTTAAATCGTTTTCTGATTTATTTCTTTGTTCATTATTAATTATTATCAAAAGATTACAAGAAGTTATAAGAGTTATAAAAGCCAACACTGGATGTTTATATGTATATATGAATTTTTTATTGAATATAAATTAAAAAACAATTATAGCTGTATCTACTTTTAATTTATATTTAATAAAAGTTATATATATATAGATAGATAGATAGATAGATAAATATCCAGTGTTGATTCTTAATCATAACTCTCTTATTGTAATTCTCTCATTTAAATTATTTAAAGTCTAATTTTATTTTCTTTTATTAATTGTTATGTTATGTTATGATCTTCAAGACAATAGAGAAAAAAGCTTGCTGCTTACTTAGCTCCCGCGTCGTGGCGGGTCTCCTATGTTTGGCGACATCCGTCATGAAATAAGAATAATCCATTTCTCTGCACTAATGTGTATGTATATTCGTTCGATAAAATCTCTGATAAATCAGCCGCCGAATTCTTATTGATCACATGTGAGGTCAGATATATTGTTGATTATTTTTCTACACACAATCACAGTTGACACAGTATTATTAACAGATTGATCGTTATTGATTGTCAGTGGTATCTCAACTGTAATTTGAAAAATGTAAATAAACGCTCCGTTCGTAATTCTCTTCTTTACTTTATATTATACGTTTCCTGAAAGATAAACACTTGAATTAGATAAACTTGTCAAGAGACACTTTCTAAAGTGAAGCTCCGGTTACTCCCGTCAATACTGACGGCGCGCTCGGCTATGCCTGCTTTTATATTTAGCGATAACGTTGGTTGCGTCAGAAAATATTTCTTATGTACAAAAAAAAAATACGACTTACATATAGAATACACCTAACTAAATAGTTCCTGATTATGCTTATCGATTCGATATTGCGACTTGTCGTGGCTACACTGCTACTGATCGGAGATGTAGGTTATATCGTATTGGAACGTATCAATAAGTATATATCGGAAATACTTCAATCGCATACAAGGATTTATAAATATATGTAATGTAAATAAAAATGATTAAGGAAAAGTATGGAAATATCTATATATGAAAATATTCAAACAAAAGAAAAAAGGAAGATCTACATGTATAACTTCTTCTTAATTAAAGAAACAAGCAAGATAAAAAAATTGCATCACTGGCAATATACATCTATGACTAAAAATTAGGCACTTATATTTGTTTTAATAATCAAAAATTCTTTTATCTATATTAATTCCTATTAATTACCAACATTTTACATAAGTTTTAAAGATTCTTGAAGCAAAGAACAATTCATAGCAAGTGCCATAAATTAATTTTTTAATTAAAACGTTAAGTAATGATTAATAAGGTGCCTAATATTTTTTGCTAAAGTTATATATTTATAAATAATACATGACGTATTCTTAAGCGTCTTGTTTAACATGTGAAAGTCAAGATCACTTTAATTTTTTCTTATTGTATGATGCAATATACTTAGATCTTAAGAATTGTGTCGCATTTTGCAATTTTTGTAATTCAATCGTTTTTAAAATAAATCTTTAATTTTTAAAATTAATCTATTAAATATTTAAAATATTAAAAGAAGAATTTAAGCTTGAAATAAATTGCTAATGGCAAAAATAATTTATTTCAAGCTTAATTGAATTTTATAATTCTTTATATTAAGATAAGTTTTATAGACATACACCATCATCATCACTTTTTTTGCCTTTTAACACTCTCATAATTTTAAAGCATTAATTTCTACGTTTGATATTGTTAACAAATAACAATAAATTATAAATTATATTCTTTTTTTATACTCTCCTTTTATACTCTTTTTTTATACTCTCCATTTGCCACAATTCATATCAGCGTTCTCTTTAATCATTTTTCGTCTTTTTACTATTTCTCAGGCAAGCGTATGTAACCGAAATTATTGGCGCACAAAAGAGACAGCAGTAAAGATAACATTCAAATACCGCATATTTTCTTCTTGAAGTTTTCTCGTCGCGCACTTTTCCGATTCAATTCACTGTGTTTTCGTGATTTCTCTTGGGTCTTTCATTCACACGCGAATAAAACGTCAATCTTCTAAACAGATGTAGATGTTCGCAAAATTATTAAGCGTAAACATTAATATTGGATTAAGCGTTCCTATTAATATTGGATTAAGAAAAATGTCTTTTTATAAATTTTTTGAAAAAGACTTTTTTAACAATGCATATATTCTATTTTTTAAAAATTAGCAATTACACCACTTAATAGAGCAACGTTTCGACTTTAAGAATTTGTATTTTTAATTGCAATGCAATGATTTTTATCGGAGTTACGAGTAATAAAGTCAGAATTTTTTCTTTTTACTTAATCCGCGAGTACTCAGAAACAAAAAATCGTAGAAATATTTTTAAAAAACGATTTTGTAGAGAAAACTTCAAGCTTTCAGCTAGAAAGTCGAAAATTTTTTCAAATTTTTTTTGGGCACGCTACAGACTTACAAAATGAAAAAAATTTTTTATCTTTTTCAGCTCATAGTTTTTTATATGTAAAAATGACAAAACTCACATAAATTCAAAAAATATAGTAACTATTAAAAATGTAGTAACTATTAAAAAAAGTTTTAAAACTTTTTTTTTAATTTAAATTTTAATCATTTTAGAGGAAGATATTGATGAGAAAAGATCTTTTTACCAACTTATAAAGAAATTTGTTCCCCACTCAATATAACGTCTGATTACGTGCGTTATGTTTTTTGTGACGTTCGACGATTTTTCACATTTAATCAGTATATTTTGTATACTTTCTAATATCGTCTTTCTCATCGTACATTTGATCCATTTTCCATTCGATTGGTTAAAAATGAAAAAAATAACAAATTTTTCGGAACAAAATTATCGAAAAGGTCTCTTAAAATTATAATACATTGACAAATATTTTTAGAGATTATATTTTGGAATTTCTTCTTTCAAAAAGATGGATATCTAAAAATGTCTAAGCTAAACCATTCCGATGATAAAAATGTTTTGTATATACTATCGCTCTTAAGATAGCAGACGGATGTCTGGTAATCAGGAAATGGAAATCTATGCTTATCAGAAGTTTATCATAAGAAGTAACGAAGAAGAAGTATAGTCTTCATCGGATCGTAATCATAGTTTCTTTTTCCAACAGTGCATTTGTATTAATTATGATGTAATCGGGGAATTTACTTGAATAAATGATGAAACCGAATGTTGACGATCTCGCGCGTTTGTCATTCGTTGACGCTATCGAGAGAGAATTGCCCTCATATCGCGTACATATATGATTACGTGAAAGGATTATTTACTAACAATGACACTCTTGCGAAGTTAATAATTTGATGCGATAGTGGGACTCCATCGTTTTATATAGGGTGGGCCAAAAGTTTGGATACCCCCAAATACCCCACAAATGATGCATTTTAGAAAAAAATGTTTCTTACAAAAGTTGTAAGGTTTAAAAAGACGCATTCAAATAGTAGGTATTTGACCTAGGATGGCAATGTCAAGGTCAACATGAATTTTTTAAATGAAAGTCCCCCTTTTTCATTACATATTGTTGTAGTTTATCTTGAGAGCTTTCCAAAAATTTTGGAAAGCTCTCGAGATAAGCTGCAACAATATGTAATGAAAAAGGGGGACTTTTATTAAAAAAATTTATTATTAACCTTAATCTGACTTTGACATCATCATCCTAGGTCAAATAACTACTATTGTTGAATGCGTCTTTTTAAGCCTTACAACTTTTGTAAGAAACATTTTTTTCTAAAATGCATCGTTTATATAATATTAGGTATTTGGGTGTATCCAGACTTTTGGGCCACCCTGTATGTATATATACAAATTCGCGAATCAGTATATGCAGCAAATAGGAATGCATATAGCATTAATACCTTTAGATGTATTAAATATGAATAATAATTTACACTGCAGAACAAAAGTTTGAAAACGATTAAAAATAGACATTTTAGGATCATTTATTCAAATATCCATGACAAAATGTTGGGATCATTTATTCAAATATTCATAAAATTGTTTCAACAATAATTTTGCAGATCTCTCCAATAACTGTCATTGGACTTGAAGAATTATTATTAAAAATGCACATTGTTATGGGCATTTGAATAAGTAATCCCTAAAATGTCTACTCTTAAAAAGTATGTTTTGGCCTGGAGTATAAGTACCTTCCTAAACGCTATCATATAACTAATAGTAAATATACTTTTTCGAACATGGAAAAAGCGCTTTAATAAGAAAAAAAAGAGTACTAATGACGTCAATCTTTATATCGTCAATATATAACGGTCTTATAATCAAATGTTATCGTCAGTCATATTTCTGAATAATTCTTCTGACATGTGAGATATTGATTGCCCTTACTTAAAATCTTTAAAAATATTAAATATTGAAAATATTAAATGTTTAAGAATTGTAGTTGCATTAAGAACAAAATAAATAAATATTCCGCAGGGGAAAAGCAAAAATTGTGAATGTAAAAAGTGCAAGGAATATGAACAGTATAAGTGCAACTTTTACATTTTATTTAATTTTTAATCGCTCTGCTAGCTCCACTTTATCTTTTAAAAGAACTATCACTCCCACCATATCTCTTTCCTGCATGTTCATGTATGAGTTCAAATTTCATCAGCTCTTTATTCTGATGCAACAATCATCTAAGATTTACCGCTACTTTCACTTCGACGTAAATATAACGATGAGGAAGATCCGAAAAGAATGATGAAAACGAGATGTTTTTATTGCATGCTATTTCTAACTATACTGAATTTTTGTTTAGATAATGAAATTTTAAATGAACTTTCCATACATACGTCAGAAGATCCATGTGACGCATTGACAGAGAATGAGAGAACGTACAATTGCGTATATATGTTATGATTACATATTTATCTATATATCGTAATTTTAAATAGGTACTACATTGCGGAATTATCTCTTTTAATTTTGTTTACACATTGCTATAACAATTTCAAATTTTGCAATTAGATATTGCAATAAAATTGTTTAAAAAGGTAAGAATATTTCTATCAATTAAAACGATTTATTAAATGTGCACACAGTCGATGAAACAAGAATCAATTTGATACGATTTAGAATTATTGATATTGAAATTTGCGATTGTCTCCTCCCACATGTTTATCATTCACGAGAGCGATGTAACTTATCCAAATCACAGGCGCGCGTCACGCATGAGTATGGATATACGTATTCGTACGCGCAATGTGCGTATGTTTGCACGCGTAATCGGTCGTTAATAACTGACATCGGGCAATTGCAAAATCGTTGGAAAGTCCGATAACGACAATACGTCAAACCAGCAGTGACCAGCCAGATAACGAAATGGCGTTGAATATTTGGGCACGAGATATGACGATCGAGTCAACTGAAAATTCAAAAATTGAACCCGCATTAATTTGTAAACATTCCGCCGATTACGGATTATTATACAGATCTTACTCGAAGAATAACAAGACAACATTTTTTATTCCCAAAAGTTTAGTTCCAAAAGTGGACAACATGTAATAATTATTACGAAAAATTATCTCTTTTTAAAATTAATTTTGTTTAGCCTTAATGGTAAACATTATTATTTAATTTAATATCTCATTTAGATTCGCCTTGAGTCAGTTATGTAGAAGAAGATATCAACTTTGATGAGTGTTATTTTTTGTCGTTATTATTTTTATTAAAATGTACAAACAAGTTCAATTTG